TGGCACCACCCCGAGGCCAGAAGGTTGGGGACCCCTGTTCTACAGGGTAGTTGGTCATTGATCCAGTTGTCTGGGGGAAATCTTAAGCTTTTGCACTTTAAGCAGGAAACAACGCAGGAAGAAATGTAGGGTCCAGCCCCCTCTGAAAACTTAGCTTGGAAGCCATTATCACAAAGGCTCTTCCTCTGGCACTTCGAATGCCTTGACCATGTTTGCCTTTAGTCACTCACATCAGAGTCTCTTAACTTTATACATCTTTAAAGAAAATTCACAAGAAATGACCTTTGAGTTGCTTTTACTGCTTGTTTTGACATATCCCAGTCTGCTTTTGTCATGACCCAATGGACCCTAAAGAAGATCTTTCTTACCCTCAGAAAACCAAACTTTCATTTCTAAAAACCAAAAAGGGAACCAGAAATGTGGGATTTCAGGTGAACAACTGTGACCTTCCTTCACAAAACCTCAAAGGTTTCACTGTGACTCAGACCAACTGCCCAATTAAAACTCAGAAGAAAACTGCACTTGGTGGAAAATAGGTAATCACTATTTCACAACGGAATAGAGCTTCTGGTTTTGTCCACGTGTTCTTCCTTAGGCCAGTCACCTTAGCCACTAGACCTTTATCTCGCATTTTGAAGTCATAGCCGATAAGATTTAGAAACAGGGTTCAGCTGGTAACTAACACAGTTCCACTCTGGCAGAGCAGAATTCTTCAAATAAAAAAGGAGGGAGCTGAGCTGTAATTTGACACAGACATAATTGTGAAATAGATGGAACAGCTCTCAAAGCCCATTGCTTCCCTGTTCAAGGTCCTCTGCACTCAGTGTCCATTATCTTCTGCATCCTCTTTTCTGTGCTTTATCAGAACTTGGACAGTAACTTTCTCTTTGGGTCTTATCCAAATAGCCATGTTGCACTGTACAAAGCAGGTATTTTCTGTGATTGACCAGGTAAACAATTTCTGCTCAAGTGTTGGCTAATATGTAATCCTCCCAAATCACCCACCATGCCCATGAACAGTGAGCTCAAATCATGGTGTATGCAGGAAAGAATAATGGTAGAAAACATTGGGGCTGTCCTAGTTAGTCCCTTAGCTGTTAAACCACACTGGTAGCTGCCCCTTTTACTCAGGATGCAAGCTGTCTCTGACAATACTGCATGCTCTGTAAGCATTTCTCAAGCTTCAATATGCACATGAATCTCGATAAAATGCAGACTTTAATTCTGTGATCTGGAGTGGAGTCTGCAATTCTGTATTATGGACACGCTTCCAGGTGACGATGAATCAGCCAGTTGGTAGACCAGATTTGGAGCTTCAAAGTGCTAGGCTATTTCTCACAAAAAAGGGTCTACTGCACACTCATAAAGGAGGAAGAGAAAGGTCTTGACTCCTGAAAAATCTGAACATCACCAATTTGGGGGGCATGTGTATAAGTGAAGCATGTAAATGCAAGTTTGTTAGAAACACAAAGAGAAAGAGGAGCAAGACAATCCCATCTCTATTCCCACATTTATGTTGTGCTTCTTCCTGTCTCTTTGTGTGGCTCATGTAGCTCTAGGAAGTTCTGCTTCCATCCATGAAGGCCCTGTTACATTAATATCTTCTCCAGATTACCCCAGCTTTCCTAAAGGCTCATAGCACATCCTTTTTTATATTTAATCCCATATTGTCTTGTATCATCTGCTGATTTTTTTTCTGTGTTAGTTCTGTCCACATTAGGGGGAAAATACTCCTGAAAAGTGAGGCCCAATTCTTATTCTTCTTATGTATTGATCATAGCATCTGGAACTGTGCAGAGCACAGAGTAGATACTAGGTAAACATCAATTTTTCTTTAAATACATTTTGTAAATGAATAGAAATTTAGAATTTTCAAAATTTTAACATAATTGATTAAAAATTAATAACGAATATTTTAAGTATGAAATGCACACTCATTGCAGAATATTTGACACATACTGAAAAGTAAAAGGAAACAAAAGCAAATATTATATAATCCTACCATCCAATGTTAATATTTTGGCCTATTTTCTATGTGTGTATTGGAAGGGCCTTAAAGTGCTTCATTTATGAAATATTCTATTTTCCCTTTTCATGTTATACAATTTCCACAACACTAAAACTATTTAAAGCTTCATTTTTGCTGTAAAATATTGGGAAGTACACCTATCTTATCTTTCCCTTTAACAGTGGACTTAAAGTTTATTATGACTTTTCACTATAATAAATAATGCTGTGATAAATATCCTTATGCTGTTTTGTCTGTATCTCTTATCTCCTCAGAAGTGGAATTACTGAGGAAATGGGCTGGAAGTGTATTTTAGACAGGGCAACATACTGAATGACAGCAATGACTTTGGAGTTTGAGAGTCTTGGATTCAATTACCACTTCTCCATACACTATTTTTAAAATCTTCAGAAGATTACTTCAACCTTTTGCATCTCAGTTTCATCATATGTAAAATGAAGATAGTAATTATGTCATAGGGCAGTTATGAGGATTAAATGAAACAAAAATGCATATGAGTTGTACTTCACAAATGAACCACTAGGTGGAGATGGAAGTTTATAATTCTAAAACAGGGATTCTCAATTCCCTTGCAGCAGGGAATTTTTTTAGAAATGCAGTTGCTCCTGATGTATCCCAGAACTATTTAATCATCATGGTGGAGGGCAGGGGTTCAGCAATCTGTTTCAAGAGTCCTGCACATGAGTCTCATGCATTCTAAAGACTGAGAATCAGTGATCCAATACATTTGCATTTTTCAACTGATTTGTTGTCTGGGCAGAGAGAAGAGCCAGATGTCAATGAACACAAAACTACATTCTACTGAAGGTTACAGAATGCTACAATAGCTGTACTAAGTGATACACACACATCATGGCATGTATCCTTATTTTCACAAAAATGTATGAGATAGTTTTTACCCCTGTTTTCTATCAGATTGAATGAACTTGCCCCTAGTGACTTGTCCTTTAGTCATGAAATATAGTCTGTACTCCACCTAGGACACAGAGTACCCACTATGTTACACAGCCACCCCAGAGCCAAGACCTGGAAAGTCTATTACAGGGTAATTTCCTAACCCACTGACTCCAAGTCAGGCATCCCCACATGTCTGGTTATGAGTGTGTACACATCTGTGTGTCTGTGACTGCAGCAGCATAGTTATGGTTCATTTTGAATATTGAGTTACACAAAACCATTCAAAATGAGAAATATTCAGTCAGAAAACAAAATACTGACTTGGGTCTACTGGTTTTTAAGGTCTTGGTACAAGATGAATGTTATTCTAGTTATTAATTTATGTATTTTTTCTCTGGTTGTTGTTGAGTGTGCTCACTTAAGCAAATGGCTAAGAACTAAGCAAAAGGAAAACATTTGCACCCATAATACTCCCTTATGCCTGTCTTGTTAAAATATCCATTTAATCCAAATTAAAAAGGGAGGAGAAATAGTACACAAATAATTGACTTACAACAGATCCATGAATTGGTCACATTAACCTCAAAATGCCACATGAACTGTAAGAAAATGCTATAGTGGGCATAAATGATTATTAAAGAGCTTCTGTTGGTATTCATTATGGCTATGGCAGTGATTGGGTTTTCATTACCATTTACTAGACAAGTGAACCAGTCAAATTGTTAATTATGCACTGAGGTCACTTTCTCCCTAACAATATAAAAGTAAACCCAAGAGCTATTCTGAGGTATAAAATGAGATGACATAGGTGAATCATTTGGCAGATAAAGAATATTCAGTATCAATATCATCATTAAATCAGACACCACACAATTGGCTTCTATGCTAATAATTCAGGCCCTCTGGAAGCAGAATCCAAGATGAAATTAAAGATACAGAAGAAAGTGGGGTGGGAGCCCAAGAAGGCTGGGAGAGGCTTCAGACTCTGACTCAGATCTGACCCACATTGAGCAAAGGTAGGAAGGAAGGCTGGGCAGGTGATATCTAGTGGTGGTACAGTGCTAAGAAATTGTCAATGAAGCTGATGGGGAGTCTTCAAGTCAGTCATCCTAGAGAAGTCCTGTGTCTCCCAGGACCTGGCCTGTCTCAGTACCTTGACACTTGCAGTCATCACATGGGGAGCAGCCCATGGACCTCATACACCCACAGTGCTGGGTACCAGAGCCATCGGTCAAATATACTCCCTGCAAAGAACCGAGAGTCTCCTTTCATAGCTGCCTCATCTCCATTGATTCCCCAGTGTTTCCCCACTAAACTGTTGACTAGTACAAGCAAATGCATGGGTAAAACTAAGCACAGGAAGCCTTTAATCTTTCTTCATTAACTCAGTGAAGAGCCACCAGCTACTCTGGGTTTATGTTGAATGAGTTAAGGTTTAATAAAGCACCGATTGATGCCTTGGAGGTGGTGAATGCTAAATTGTTATTAATATGATGGTCTTTGAGTTTAGTCTGAACTTTTGAAAGAAGGAAGATCTACAGGATTCAGTTTGAGGTGCTCGTCCAGCTGGCATTTAACGAAACAATAATGCTGGGATAGGAGTCTGCAATGTGGGTAAAAAAACTTTTTCTATCAGGTACACAGAAAAAATAATGGCAAAGATGAGGAGAGCTCAGAGGAGCCTCTCCAGAGAAAATCTCCCCCTGAAAGTTCTTATCACAAGGAAACAAAAAGAAATTTTTGTAACTGTAGGTGATAAATGTTCACTGAGCTTATGAACATTCTGTTTGTTGGGAGGGACCTTGTCTTTTGTTTGTTTGTTCTGTTTTTATTGATTTTAGTTTTTTTCATTACCATTTAGTCCCCTTATACACCCTTCCCCCCAACAATCTTGTCTTTTTAACTTCAGTTTAAAATCACAAAGCTACCTTAGATATGTATGTGTACGAATTCAGTGATTAATGCAAAATTACATCATACTTACAAAAACTATCCATAAGCAATAAATTATATTTAACTTACAGATAACAAAATTAACACAGTCTTTTTTCCAGTAAATTATTTCACACAGGTATATGCTTAAGAATCTATTTAATTATTCAAACTGTGCTAGAGAATACATATTTTGAAATAGATATTTCATTAGATTCAGTTACAACATTGACAATTTCCAATGGGAATTTCTTATGCTATCCTGATTATCCAAAATAGATTATCCTAAAAAATTTGTATCATCTGCTATCAAATCTGTATTATGTCAAAACATATTTTTAAATATGGATTTAATTATGTCCCTTTCAGCTCACTGATTTCATAAATATTAAAAACCCCAATTTAACTATTTTTATAAATATTTCTAAAGCATGTTTTCCAATCATTTTCATAATGAAGACCTATAATCAACCTATGTTTACACGTTACTTTTCTCTACACAGTTTTACTTTTTAAAAAGAGAACAGCATAGAATGTGCAAAAGCTCTGGCTCTCCAAGGCAAAGCAAAAAAAAAAAAAAGACAAAATTTAATTCTGTATCCTGATTTTCACTTTGAGTTTCATTTTTTCTTCTTACCTATCTTTTAAATGTTAGGAATTATATTCTTAAGATCATACACCCCAGAATGATAACAGAGTCAACACTTAGAATGTAATTACCTAATAAAAATAGCAATGTTACTATTCCAATTACTTTGGGGAAAAGTTTTATATTATCAAAAAAATATGGTTTCAAATTCATTGGTGGTAAATATATTAATTTTCTGGGTCAAAATGGAGAGCCTTTCAAGACAGGGAGCTGCGCAGCCAGCAAGGACTTGAACTAGTCGGGATAGCAGGATTCCGGGGTCAAGGCTGTTTCCACCATCACAGTCTTACCACCATATGAAAGTGGCACCCTATTTGTGTAGCACTTGTTTCTGTCATAAGCGTAGCAGGTCTCGTTGTCCTCATTACAGATATTGCTCTGGGTGGCTGTAACTACTTGATCTTCCAGTTCCACTTCCACAGGATCACATTTTTTGCAGCTGGAAAACAAGTACATGCATCAGACAATCCCCGTCAAATGCTGTCTCAGCATTTCAGTGACTAAACGTTTCTATCCAAAATCAACAGCTCCTGCAGCTCTGGCCTGATGACTGACAAAGGGTGACTCCTTTCAGAGCTCAGCTGCTCTACATTACAGAATAGTTTACAGGATTTTTCTCAATCTTCAATATAAAAATTAGTTGAAAGTAACCAATATGATTAATAATTTCTACTTTGTTAGATTTATTACATATTGTGTACTAGGATTGAACAAGTTATTTATACTGACAGAGAAGGAAGAACTTTAAAAAATTGTTTGTTATTGGATTCTATAGTGTCCAAAGAAACATCTGTATGTTAATATGCCTGAAATCCAGTTACTGAACTATTAAGACAAATTGGCCCTTCCTGTACTAATGGAAAATATTTCTTCTTTAGAATAAACTCATAGCTAACTTGTATCTGTGATAAAGTTCTATAAATTTATGATATCAATATTTAATAATTAACATAAAAACCAATGTATTCAAAAGTACAAATTATATTGCTAAATGTTTATATCCCAACCTGTTTTCCAAAAACATTCTAACAAGCTAATTTTTAAAAGTTATTGACTTGCATATACATAACTATGAATATAATAATGTGAATATACATAATATATGAATACATATACATGTATATATTACTATGAATATATACATATTACTATGAAGGACAATCTCTTACAGGTCGGACAAATGGTACACAAATTTGGTTCTCATTGGCGTGGTGGGATCAGAGATGTTCTCCCTGTTGCCCAGAGGAACACTAAAAAAGGAAGGAAAGAAAGAACAAGTCAAAATAATGAACCTAACAGATATTGCTACTTTTTGGTAACAGATGTATTGCTAGGACAGTACTTTATGTTTGGTACATTTAGCACTCTCTAAGAATCTATACTAATACCAGTACTCAGATTTCACAGTAATTTGCTACATTTTAAGTATTTCCCATCCAAAATCAACCTCACAAGAATTCCTCAGTCAATGGTCTTTGCTTACTTGGCAAATCTGTTTTCCTTTAGCAGCTGGCTCAAGTTTTCCCCTGTCTCTGAGGTTTACGTTGATCCCCTCTCCAGACCTCAATAAACCCCTTCTTCTGTAGCCTCATCACCACTCACAGACTTCTGTTACAACAAAGACCGTATCATAGTTGCTCATCTACAGAATAACTGCTTCTCTCGACTACATAAGTTCATTGAGGCAAAAATAAGTATGCATTCCCAGTGCCTTGCTAGATTTGTGGCATGTGGAATGTGTTCAATATTTATGGAATGAATGGACAGATAGTATTAGCCACATTTTTTGAGATGCATAAATTATAAATCAGACAGGTTAGCAATCTATCCAAGATCACACAACTACTGAGTCGTAAAGCTGTAGCTGGAACCCACATCTCTTGACTTGGCAATTTCCTTGAAAAATTAGATAATGCTTATCAACTAGTTCAGGTGATTTCATTAATTTTTACATTCTTATTATCTATATCAGTATTCCTCATCAATGCACCCCTCCCTTCCAAAAGATACAAAGAAAAACTCATGTTTTTTAACTCAGCTTTTAGCAATAATATCCACACAAGTATCCAAGCAAAAACTTGGACACCATTCCTGAGTCTTCCCTCTGTCATGAGGTCATTTAATCCATCTCACAGGTCAATTGACTCCAATTCTTTGCATCTCTGAAATCTACCCACTGAGTTCGGAACACCACCATTTCTCTCCTAGCAATACCCTCCTCGAGTCTTGACCCCTCCAACGCATGAGCCACATTGTTGCCAAAATGGCCTTTCCACAATAGGAGCCTAATTTCCTTCTGTGCTTAAAACCTATAGTGTCTCCCACAAACGGCCGGGTGTCCTTAACGATATGCCTCTCACTCTCCAGGCTCATCTCTCAGCATGCCACCCTCTTTACACTACAGACAACTATAAACAACAGCTTGCAGTTCTGCAGATTTACCAGCTTTTCTCATCTCCAAGTCTTGGCAATAACAAAAACAGTTCTAACATTTACTAAGTACTCAGAGTAGCCTCGTACTATGTAAACATGTTACATGATGATCTGGTGTAACCCTCACAGCAACCCTGTTTCTTTTTCCTGGAATGACCTGCCCTGCCTACCGACCCTGTCATGCCCCACACACTCACCCAGCAAACTCCCAAGCAGCCAGCTAACTGCTGCCGTCCACTTCCACCACTTCCTCCCAACGTTCTTGCCTGCCTCCACTGCCACTCTCCACCAGCCCCCAGGATTGGACCAGGTGCCCTCTAACACCCTATACCTGTTTCTGTCATAGCACTTACAATACACAATTGTAACTGTCTTTTTAACTGTTTACAGTTCCCTACTGAACTGTCAATTCTCCAGTGGTCCCCCAACTCCAGCCTCAGTGGCATTCGCTAGCACTCAAAATATGCTTGTCAGATGAATGAATGAATGAATGAATCTATGAATCTATTCTTTATTAGACTGAAAAGGCTCTAATAATATCAAAAAAAGTCTTTAAGTATTGACAGAGATAAGAGAATAAACCTATATGAATGTCTACCATGGGTCAAACAACATTCTAGATACTTTTACACACTATCACATTTAATCCTCCAACTCTATAAAGTATAGTGTATATCTACATACTTATACTATCCCTTTTTTACAGTTTAGGAAACAGGCTCAAATTAGTTAAGAAACTTGCCCAAAGTCATATGATTAGTAAGTGATGGAGTTGGGAATAAAGGCATGGCAATGACAATAGAACTTTCAGAAATGAGATCAGAGAAACTTCAATACACATCAGGCAAAGTGGATGAAGTAACTGAATTATCTGAATTCAGAAAATGATACACAATCATAAAAAAATAGTCATAGAAAGAGATGAATCAGAGAATTATGGAGTGCCATTTACAAATCTGAAGGTTTACATATAAGATGGACACTCGTCTTCAACATAGGCTAGGTGCCAGTGCCACAGACGGTAACCTCTCGAGTCACACTCGTCTCCAGTTGCTCTACCTCTAACAGCGGGCTAAGTGGTACGGAGCCTGAACGGTCAGAGAAAACCTGCTAGAGGAAGTGATATCTAAGCTAAGACATGCAGGTTGAGGAGAAGTTAGCCAGGCTAGGAGGGCTGGGAAAAAGGGTTCTTCAAGCAGAGGAACAACATACACAAAAACAGAAGAGAAAGAAAGCACTATGCATGCGGAAAAATAAGGACACAACAATACTGCTGGATTTTCACACATAAGGTGAAAAAAATGTCAATAGAGTTATGGCTCAGTGTTGTAGGTTGGGCTGAGGCATTTTTAATTTATCGTAATAACAATGTTGAGTAAACCAGCAAAAGTATTTTAAGAAGTATAGTGACATAACGATAATTGACACATAGGGTAAGCAGATAAATCACAGCAAATATTTTTTGAAAATATGCCAGGAATTATACATTCTCTAAAAGGAATAAATTTCAATATAGCTTTACAATAGACCAATGAGATATATACTATTAAAATTTAGAGTAGAGAAGTAACTTGCATACAAGAACATACAGCTATTAAGTGGCCCAACCAGAACTTGAAACAAAAATTTTAAATGCATACAACTTCTTCCATTGATTAGATGGAACTGAATGTTATGTTGTTTCAAGAAGAGGCACTCATTTGGGGGAAGACTATTCAAGAATTGTTTGCATCCAATAGAAATCTCACTTTTTAAATATTTTTAGCATTTTGGCTATTGAACATCAAGATGCATAGCTTATAACCTGGACTATGTGTGAAATGATTATCTTAAGTCCAATGTGCAAGTGAAGAATAAATCAAATAAGTCAATTTGATTAGTCTGCCTTACCTGTATCCAGACAGTTGAGTACTATGTAAAGTACTCTGTCCAGATGTAGTACAAAATAAGGCTTTTAGTGTTATCTCAAGTATCAGTTTGAACTAGTCAAGAGCAACTAAAAGTTCTGATTGAAAATGAAATGATTCCATATAAACAGGGCATGCTGATGACTAGACCCGAACCTTCAGTTATCGTCATTAGATCTAGACGACCAGTTTTTGACTGCATGGAAACCTCGTTCCTGCTCTCAACTTGTAGGCAAGTGGCTCAAGCACACTAACCACATTCAACTTCACACCAGATGCTACACATCAAAAAGAGGGGCAAAGATAGAGGCATTACATTCAAACAATGGCTAATGTGACAGAGTATCTCTGCTTACAACATGCAAAAGCGAAACATGAAATACCACGTACATGATTCTGATGTTTCTCTCTACAATGTCCTCACTAGGGTCTTCGGGAGAAGGGATGATCCGGGAAGTCACGCGGGCACACTTGCACTTGTTGTTCACAACAATAGTCCTTTCCTCTTCATCTTGGGCTTGAAAGATAAAACAGTGTTGAGAAGAAATGGAAACGAAAATCTACAGATCAACTTTGTATTGAATTCATCTTTTTGCCTGAGGAAAAAATTGAGTTTTACAGTTGGTAAGTTTTATGGTTTGTTCTCCTTCCTAATCTAAAATAGCAGAGTAGAATCTCACAGCATAGTGAAGGAAAGGTACTCCAAAAGGATTTCCTCTTCTTTCCTTGGACCAGTCTATGGGAACCTGAACAGAAAGAACTCTGGTTTTAATCCAGGGCTTTAAACAGAGGCACAGCTCTCTGAATGATGTAGCCTTCGCTAAAATGAGCGCCAGATGCCCAAGTAAGAGAGAAAGCAAAAATGTAGACTGCAGACCAAAGCAATCCATTCAACAGTGAACCAAAATGACATGTTTTTGTAAACCCAGGGAAGCACCACACCCCTGCTGAGCTCCCGCTCACACACTGTTTGCTCACCCTGCATCAGAGCTGAGCACAGGCACACTTCCCCACAAGACAGCCTTGTTTTGTAAGGCTTTCAATACTCTCCACTACAGCTTTCCTAAAATTAATTATATTTTTCTTTCTCATAATAATGATCTGGTTATTATGATATAATGATTCAATCAAATAAAATATAGGTGCTCTATTAATATATCTTATAAAAATTATTTTTAAAGTTATAGTATATATGGACATGAAGTGTTGTAAATTTGCAAAAATAATTCAGAAAATATTGAGAAGTACAATCGCTATTTCATTTAGTATGCCTGAATGCAGAAAAAAGTGAGTAAATGAATGAGTCCAGAGATGACCACTAAGGCCTTAACTTTGTGTCGACATTTATTGTCTAATCTGAATATTACACAGAAAGATCTAGTAAGTGTTGCAAAGAATAAACAAAGTAGGTCTATTAATAGCTGGATTTATACCAATTAACAGATATTTCAGGAGTCAATAATAGCTTTTTTTAACAGTGCTAATCAAATAATAATGATGTTAAATATCTTTTTTTAGTCCTGCAATATTAGCTAAGCAACCTTTAAAACTTCCATTCACCAAGCCTCAACTGAAAAAAACAAAAATGTAGCATTTAAATTCAAGTTATCAGGGTTAAATGATTGGGACAGATCACTGCTATTGGAAGTCTAGTTATTCCAGAAGTGATCCCAGAGCACAGGGGCCCTAACTGCTGTATTTCAGTCTCAATGATAATAGTCATTACAAAAACATTTTAAATCATTGTTATTGTGCTTATAAACTGCTTGAAGTATTTTAGAATACATATGATGTCATCAGTCACAACTTCCTAATAAACCCTCTGGTACAAGTCTGTGTGGTGCTGGAGAAGAAGTATCACAACGCCGGGTCAAGAGCATCATCAACTCCTCCTCACGCTGTGGAGGGTGGGTGACTTCAGTGCTGTCACCGTACTGACTGCTGTATCATGACTATTAAATGTGTTTCTCAATAAAATACAAATAAGCCAGCAGTGCTGGTCCAAAGGAAAAAAAAGTCAAATTAGTATGCGACTTGACAATTAAGTCTTCAATAGAAAATGTCTATATTTTATCTATGGTATACAGTTTATTTTCTTACCTGAAACCTAAGGGGGGAAATAACATTAGTGTTGTTATATAAAATTATTAGGCAGCCCAATATTCCTACTAGAAAATATATAAATGCCTTCAATTCACCAAGACTTACATACCTCTAATATTCTCTCTCACTGACAGGCAGCATCTTTCCTAATAAACCTCTTATTAAAGACTGTGCCTTATTTTATTCCAAGAGCACCTGAGACATAATAGGTGCTCAATAAATATTTATTGCATTTAATTCAGTTCAAACAAATAAGAAAATAGACTTAATAACATACTACATATGAACATAGTTAATTTACTAATTATTATAAGGTGATTCTCTCATACAGGCAAAATAGGATAGTAGTTAGGAGTGTGGGCTGTTGGGTCAGAGGGTCTGGGCTTTACCTACCACTGCTTGCTGTGTAACCTCGGGCAAGATATTTGGCCTCTCTCAATTTCAATGGGCTCAACTATATGCCAGAAATTGGTACCTGTCCTCAAGCAGTTGTTGTGACAATTAATTAGAATAGTATACATAATTAGCATAATATATACAACATAACATGTGCTTAATAATTACAGATCATATATGTGTGTATATGTGCTTGTATTTATACATACATATAGATACATATACTATACATGTTTTATTACTCTTTATATTATAAATATTATTAGAAATTCATTATTCTTGATGTTAAATTAGTATAAAATATATTTAAATGATTACTCTTAATTATATAATATTCAGTCTTAAAATAAGAATAATAAGCTCAGTAAATGTTAGAAACAATCCAGCCAAATTATATCACTTCTAATTCATGTGTGTTCTGGATCAAAATTATGAAAAACTGTACCTCTGTTTTCAGAATGTATTCCACTTTCTACAGTACTTTGAAGGGTTAATAAACAAAATACCCAAAGTTCAGCCATTTAGCTATAGGCCCTGTGGAACATTAAACATTGTTAAAGGGTCATAATAAATCTAGAGAAATAAAATCCCAGTGCATTCTATGTTGTATTTACAGTAATATTATTTCATTTTTCCTAATACTAATTTAAGACACTCAACAAGAGGACTACTGATTTTTAAGAGTCAATATGTACATTCATACAGGTACAGTATTCATATCAATGCTTACCTGGAAATATTATTTTAATTAGGGGTGTCCAAACTTTTGGCGTCTCTGAGACACACTGGAAGAAAAGTTGTCTTGAACCACACATTAAATACACAAACACTGACAAAAACTGATGAGCAAAAAAAGCTTTTAAGTAAATTTACAATTTTGTGTTGGGCCACATTCATTGACACCCTGGGCTGCAGGCAGCCCACTGGCCACAGGTTGGACACCCCTACAAGACACTGTAGTCAAACAAATAAGAGAAAAAGAAAAAATAAGAATTATGAGTCTTGTCTGCATAAAGATCACTGCCCATACAAAGATTAAGGCAAGTTAGAAAAAAGTAGCCAACTAGCTGGCCAACTAAAGCACAAACATTAATGTTTCGCTCTGAAGAACAAATCTGTGTTATATTTTTCCTTTTATCTGGGTTTATTTTCAAAATACCACATACCTGTCACAAGAAAAGCCTTAACAAAAATGGCCAGGACTCCCCAGAAAAGCAAATGGTTCTTCATCTTGCCTTCACTTCTTTCAAAAACTGGAGCCCAAAAAGTCAGGGTTAAGGTGTGTGATCTGTAAGGAGTGTGGCAAACAGTGGTGCTTCTGCTTTCTTAAAATAACGCTCCAGGCAGCTAACAAACTAAAACCAATCACCACTGCGGCTGAAGTCTGAAATTTCAATGCTGCACTGGAAAGAAATGTATGACTCACATTTACCTATTTTCTTCCAAAGCATCCCCCCAAGAGTCATGTTTTGATGCAATCACTGTTTTATTTTACATTTACTCCATATAATTAAAGCAAAAGATTAATAATAATTTCAATGCAGGAGTCCATTAAGAATGTTTAAATAGGGGTTTTCAACTTTATTCCCTAGATAATAAAGCTTTCAAATATACATGACATTTGCTGTGCTTGGAACAATAAATGAAGGAGGATAAATGAATTAAAAATCACTAAGGTCCCAACTGTATCTTATGTCAACTTTTCTTCTAGCCCTTAATTAACCAAGCAGATATATATAGATATAGATATAGATATAGATATAGATATCTATATCTGCTCAAACAGCAGATGTATATACATATGAGCTCAAACATGGAATTGGAATTAGAAACAGGTGGATACTAGAAGTCTCAGTTGCCACATTTTAATTTGATAGCATTAAGGCAGACCTTGTGTTTGCTCATCTAGTAACACCTTTCAGAATTGTAAACCCATAAAATGATTTTCATGTGAGATGCCTCAACAGAAAACAGAAGGCTGTAGTATTTCTTGTAAATATTTTTTCATTAATTAGTGCAAAAAAACACAAAACAAAACAAAAACTGAGCTTTTGGACAAGCTTCGCCTACCCCACCACTACCACGCCCCCCACCCCAACATACTAGAATTTTCTGCCTCAGGGAGGCTTGTTCCAAGAGCATATGGTTACATTTACATGCAACATCAAATCTATGTTACTTTTGGTTCTTTGTTCTCTAAGTTTTTAAGGATCTCCTAGAATTTTGAGAGGTACTAAAGAAATACTTCAGGGTTATAAGCAGGCAAGCAGATTTCATAGCCAGCAGTGGAATACAACAGAATGAAAGCTATAAAGTCAAGCACGTAGTTGCTCTCCTTAAATCAATATGTATTAAAAGTTTTGCAATATGTATTGAAAGTCAAGCTGTAGGACATACAACATTACTATACTGTCAGAATTTACTTTCATGTTCATGTCCACTATCATAGCATTTAGAAATTATTTGGGGTTAAGAAAATATACTGGGTTCACATGAGCAATTATACCTAGTACAAGAAGAAACAGATCTGAAAGCACATTATTTTAGGTATGTGGTCAGGATGTAAAAACAAATACCAACCACTTAAAGAGTTCCTCATCTTTAACTGTAGTTTCTAAATAACTGATTTATTCCATCACTCAAAAAAAAGAGTAATTACAAGTTAGCTTAATACTGCTTTAGAAATTATTACTTCCTTGAAAGTAAACTCAAAACTAAACTGCTTCCCAAAAACAATTGGATAAATTCCTGGGGCCAAATTAAAGCTTTCCCAAAAGCTTATTTTGTATAAAAGCAAAGATTGCCAGATTCATAAATACTAAAGGAAAGCTCTCTATTTGGTGTTTATATTCTTTCAATATTATAATTTTATATTTCTATCAGGTAAGCTGCACATCTAAAAGTAATTTTAATAAAAAATAAGGTGTGGAGATCCATGAGGCACTTTTGCCACTGGAAGAGTTACCTAGACTTGCAACGTAGTATCAGGACCAGTGTTGTGCCAAGTGTGTCCCAGGGATCATCTTCCCTGGAAAGACTTGGAGTACCAGTCAAAACATTGCTTTTCTGGCTACACCCAGTCAGAATTTCTGGAGATGTAACCTTGAAATACATATTATTAAAAAGTCTTCCAGTTGACTGTTAGGTACACCACAATGTAAAAATTGGTAGACTAGAAGCCTGAGGGAGGGGAGGGGAGGGGGGCAGGGAATAACTAGCAGCATTAACTATAAAAGAGCAAGAAGTTAATAAAGGTAATTTTTAAAGCAAATTTGTTTACAATTCTGTGATATAGGCAAATTGGTTCATCTTTTTAGCACTAACCAAATACATCTATATATTGGCTATTATATAGTTATATAGATATATTCTAACCAAATATATCTATATATATATAATAGATTGCAGTTTAATTTTTAAATAATTTCATCTCCAGATTTTGTTCTTCCCATTAAAAAATGTAAAATGTGAATAGAACTCTTTCTAAGTAAGTGAAATAAATAATTGGGAGTTTAGCTACATGTTCCAAATTTTTCACCAAAAATGGCTTATTTTTTCACATCCATATATGACATTCTTACAGTAAGAGGTTCAGTGATAGACTCATCTGAATGAAAAAGATCTTATGGTAATTTGTTTCACCTTCTATATTTCCACTCCAGTTCTATTTCAACTTCCTATACAGCAGACAGTCTGAGTTTAGCATTTGTTTAAAAACCACCTGAAGTAGGTCAATGCTTCACTTCCTCTGACACAGCTCATTATATTTGAGACTCTCAAATCATGACACTTTATTCTCTTGGGACATAGAGAATGCACTCCCCTTGTTTTCCTGCTTTCATTGGTGATGCCTCAGTCTCTGCCTGAATTTTCCTCAATCTCCAGCCTTCTCCTTCATCTCAGCCTCTGCCTAATTAACTTTATCTCATCCCATGGCTTTGAATATAGGACATGCTGTGACTTTCAAATAGATAACTTTGGACTTTACCTTGCCCGCTGCGCTCCGGCGCTCTGTTTGATATCTCTACTTGGCTGACTGACAGGTATCTAACAGGTAAACGGGAGAATAGCACTCTTGAGGGCCAAGTCACCCTCACACCACCGTTCCAAACTCTCTCTGTCTTTAGTCTTCCTTGGTCAATGGCACCTACACCCAACGAGTTGCTCCAGTTGCTCCAAACCCTCTTCTTTGATTCTTTTTTTTTCCTCTCCCCCACATTCAATCTATCATCATGTCCTATTGGCTTTTTCCCCAAAAATATCCCAGATTTATCTGAGTCTCTCCATTTTCACTGCTACCCTAGTCCAAGCCTCCATCCTTTTTTTCGGACTACTACAGTAGCCCTGGTAATTAAAAAGTGGTTTTTCTCTTTGCCCCCAGCACTGGCAACTAGGACTCCCAGCTGACACATGACAGTGGCTAAGTACCCCAAATTCTAAGAGAGTCAGACACATCCTCCAAGGCTTAACAAGAGGCAACAGAACTCAGCTCACTGCCATCAACCACCACCCCACCTCTTCCCAGCTCCCACCTCCAGTCTTTAGATGATTTGGGGGGCAAAAGGAGAATGTTATCACAGGAGCTGTTGACCTTGTGGACATAGGAGTGTTTGTGGTAAAAGACATTCCCCCCTTTACTCTTAGGAAAGAGAAAGACATGGTGTACTTCTTTCCTCATAGTCAGTGAGGGAGAGATTCAAGAAAATAACTCAGAGAGATCAGGGACCTTGCAAAAAGGGGAAACTGAGAAGCAATATAGCATAATAGTCAAGGGAAAGAATTCTGAGTCTGCAGCTTGGGTTTGTCTCCCAATCCACCACTTACCAGCTATGTGACAATTTATCCTCTATGTTTCAATTCCTTATCTGTAAAATGGGGACGATATCAATATCACAGGGTTGCCATGAGGCTTAACATGTATTATTGCATATAAAGAAGTTAGAGCAGATCTTGGCCTATGATAAGTGCTATGTAATTATTAGTGATCATTAACATCATCATAACCACTATCAAATCATCATCATTATGTTGGCCACTCCTTGTTGAGTTACAGAAAATGCAATCCCAACCTGAGGATATCAACTCTAATAAAGTTTGAGGAAAGCATTTCTGGGAGAGCTTGACATTTCCCTTTGGATTACAGGCATGTGGGAACATAGAAACTGATATGTAGCTAAATGGCCCTTATAAAGAATATTAGAAAATATTCAAAAAACTAGAGTAGTAAAAACAGTATATTACTGGCATAAAAAGCAGACATATGGACCAATGGGACAGAATCAAAAGCCCAAAAATAAATCCACATGTATATGGTCAACTAACATGTGACAAGGGAGAGAATACTCAATGGGGAAAGAATAGTCTCTTCAACAAAAGACGTTGGGAAAGCTGGATATCACAAGTGAAAAAATAAAATTGGGCCCCTATACACCACTCACAAAAATTAACTTGAAATGGATTAAGGACTTAAATGTAAGACCTGAAACCATAAAACTCCTGGGGAAAAAAAGGCTCCTTGACATAGGTCTTGGCAATGATTTTTGGGTGGAACACAAAAAGCATAAGCAACAAAAGCAAAAATCAACAACTGGAACTAAATCAAACTAGAAAGCTTCTTCACAGCAAAATACACAAAGCAATCAAAAAATAAAAATGCAGCTTACAGAATGGGAGAACAATTTACAAGCCATATATCTCATAGAATGTTAATACATAAAATAATAAGAAACTCATACAATGAAGTGGAAAGATCTGGTTTAAAAATTAACAGAGGACTTAAGTACACATTTATCTAAAGAAAGCATTCATATGGCCAACAAGTAAATGAAAAGGTGCTCAACATCACTAACCATCAGGGAAATGCAAATCAGAACCAAAACAAGATATCACCTCACACCTGTTAGACTGGCTATTATTTTTAAAAATATATATGAGCTAACAAAGGCTGATGAGGATGTAGAGAAAAAGGTACCCCACACGCCACTGGAAGAAATGTAAGCTAGTATAGCCACTATGGAAAACAACATAAAAGTTCTTCAAAAAATTAAAAGTAGAACTGCTATATGATCCAACATTTCCACTTCTGTGTATATATCTAAGGAAAATTAAATCACTATATTAAGAAGGTATCTACATTCCCATTTTCACTGCAGCAATATTCCCAAAAGCCAAGACATGGAAACAACCTAGGTGTTGTTGACAGGTGAATAGGTAAAGAAAAATGTACACGCACTCACTGGAATATTTTTCAGCCATAAAAATGAAGGGGAGATTTCATTTTATGGCCAGATAATATTCCATTCTATATATGTAGCATCACTTTTTTATCTACTTGTCTATTGAGGGGCACTTGGGTTCTTGTATATTCTGGCTAAATAAA